TTTTTTGATAAGAGAAAATATCTTTCTTCTAACAGAATGCAAAAAGAGAATTTCAGCGGTGCTGAAAATAAATATACCACGATTGAGGGAGTATTACACTTGCAACATCCTGTCCAGAGCGCATCCGGTTGGTCCTGAACTCGAAGCCGAGTCCGAAAATCTTGGACTCGACCGACTCTACCACACGATCGGACCACTATTGGATTTACTTAATAATTTAACACTATCTTTCTCATTTATTTTGTCTAGTTAAGTCAAAAAAAAAAGTGGATTATAACCATTTGCATCAAAATCATAGTGTTACTTTTTGTTTTTATTATGTGATCTTCAAAATAAAAAAAAAGTACATTTATGATGTAAGAAAAATGTGCACATCTTCGTGGTTGCGAAATATATTTATTGGTATCTATAAAGAACTATGACTTTTATCGACTTCGAAAGGAAATAATGATTTTCATCAGTTGTAGTTGAGACTTTTAAAATACATTGAGTAATACGACTTCTATTGATCGCATAAACTCGATATTAACTATCAGTGTAATCAAGAATCAATTGACAAAAAAAAAAATAAGGTCTATCAAAGTTTCAAACCATTGACATTATTTCAAAACAGCATTTTGAAATAGTCTTTTGTATGATAGTTAACTATGAACACTTCTTTACTACATAGATTGAAAGATTTGTAATTTCTATCAAACAGATAAATAACATTTATAATCCAAATATTCTCACTAATGTAAAATGGAGGAATTTTATGGATACATATTCGTTTTTTTCAATGAAATGGAATCACAAAAGTTAGATTCACTTGCTTATTGAAATTACACTGCTCTCCGAATAGAGGACTACCGACAAGAAAAATTTGGCAAGGCGTAATAGAACGTCATTAGTTTTCTAAAAGTCTGTTTTGGAAATTCAACAGATCTTGGGAAGGTTTAGTACCTAAAAATCTGAACTTTCAGTGGAACTTTTTTTTTTCTTATTACTGAAATTCCAATTTTTTCTAGTAAAAATTCTGGTGTTCTGACACTCAGTTCTTACAACTATCAGTTGGAATACCAGAAAAGTTTTTCAATAATTCTAAGTTTTCCAGGTCAAAGTTAGAAAAAAGTTAGTCCTCAGTAGACGACTGCTGGTGGAAGGACTCTATAAATTTCCATTATACAAGGTCATAGTCTTTTATTCTCAAGAGACGAAAGAGACTTGCCTCAGAGTTAAGTAAATGCCTCACTAATAAATCTGATTTAATACAAGAGCTTTTTTCAATTGTAAGTTTTATTCTTCGGTATTCATTGTACAAACTGATATGTTTTTGAAATTCGATTGCTATGTCTTCAAGACTTACTCCCTGAGAAGACGTGAATCGAACCTTCAAAATACATCAATTTGTACAATGAATATCAAAAAATAAAAATCATCATTCAAAAAACTTGTAGTCTTGAATCTAATTTACTGGTAGGTAATTTAGAGAGTTCTGTCTGCTCCTAAAAATGATTCCGATGCAGGTTTCTAGAAGGGAGAGAGTCACTATAAAAAGACTTGTTAACGTTTACACAAGGTGAAAGAATCTAGATAGATGAATTTAATGATATTTGATGTAGTTTAGTTTCTTCAAGTGATTCAGTCAATACATATATATGAAATTGAACGTTAGATTTTATTCGTCTCATTTTACATATCTTCATATAAAGGTAGGAAGAAAAAGTTTATTCACTAGCAATTGCTTTTGTCCTTTATCTAATCCGATAAAAATTTTATCAAATGATCTTCGTTTTCTTTAGTCATTGAATTAAGTTCTTCTTTCTCCTCTTCACCCTCTGTCAAAAATCTATTCTCGTCTAAAAGCAACTAGTCTAGCTAGAAATTTTAGGAAATATAAGTCAGATACTAGAATTTTAAAGTAAAAAAATATCAGCCCAAAGTATTGGGCTCTTCAAGAGTTATATTTATATTAAAGATCAAAAAGTAGATCTCCGTCTGTTGCAGATTTCTCCCCGAAATCTAATGAAATGAACTTTAGGTCGACGTTAAAATGTAGCCAACATTTGCCACTACAACTTTACACAGTCCGATTTTTCAAATTCTTCTTTATTAGTTTTTGGCGTCAATTTTTTTTTTAAAAGCTCGAAAAAATAGGTACAGTGTAGAATGTAGGTAGAAGTATTTATGTCAACCTTCCACAATTAGCCCTATCTATTCGCATCCATGTCAACAATACTAACTACTCAAATAGTCAAAAGATGAGAAGAAGAAAGGAATGATTATAAACGTAAAAGAATGCAGTCGAAGAAAAAGAAGAGAATGCATACTTATGTCACAAGACATCTCTTCTGACATAACACTATTAAAATAATTACATAATTAAATGAATACTAGTAGGAAAAAAATACCGGGTACAAGTTCACTTGTTTGAAAGCTTGTTATTTCACACAAGTTTGCTAGATTGTCTACTATGGAAAATCTTAGAAAAAATTCAAAAGACAACAATAACTAACATTTTCAAAAAGCAATCATTTTTCTTTATTTCCCGCATCAATCAGTAAATCATGTGTAAAATCATGAAAAAGCATTAGAATTCTGATAAATAATACTGTTTTCGAAAGTACACAACAAGACATATACAACCACGCAAAAATCTTAGAATCGATAGTTTTGACGAAAATTTCAATGTTTGACGAGGAAGGAGACCTTAACAAATATAAAAAGTTATGACGTATTATGTTTATATGATTTGAAGATATCATCGATTTAATAAACACATTGTATCTTATATTTGTATTTTGACGTTAAAATTAAAACTTTGTTTGTTTTTTATTAATAATAATTTGTTATCTCGGTTAGAATTTGCAACAATATTAAATTTTGTTGATATGCGTCATAAAAAAATAAAAACTTATCGTCATTTTTCATTGCGTAGCATGTTAGATAAAAGAACATGATAATATAATAAGCCCATATAAAACAAGATAGAAATTGAATAGTTCTGTGCTTTATTATATTATCAACAACAATAACAAGATACAAATGATGACCAATACTGATCCTTGTATTCCACCATCTACAGCTCATGCACCTCAGTTCTATGCTGATTTTGGGGCACCAATCGCATCTAATACCAATGAAAATTTACCACCACCACCTGCCTATACGGCTGTTGTAATACCTTCAACAGGAAATACTACGGAACATACAAAACTTGTTACTAATCCATCAACTGTCGTCAATGAACTTGTTAATCAACGGTTTTCGCCCACCACTCAACGACAACTTAATGCTCAACAAATTGTTCGTATAACTCAATACATAAACAATCAAGAGAAAATAGTGAATGATAAACTAGTTGTAGCCTTGTGCATATCTATTGTTGGTATTGCAGTTGGTATAACTCTCATTGCTTTGTATATCGTTTATCATAAAGATTTATGTGGTTACTATCACACAAGTACTTCCTGTGTTCGTGTCTATTCTGCATTGATTATTGGATGCATATCTATTCTTGTGGGCATTCTTCGTATTACACTTTTTGGTATAGCGAAATCAAAAATAAATCGTGCAAAGAAAATATGGCAAGAAAAAGTAGCTCAATTACAATCAACATCATTGAATGGTTATTGATTTGATCATTTCTTTTTTCCATCTAATCTAATAAATGAAATATCAATGAAATTTTCTATTTTCATTTTAATTCATAATATAATCAAAATTATGAGATTGAATTACAATTTGATTGTGTTGAATATAACTTTTGTTTGAAATTCATATTTATATACATTTTTATAAAGATTATATAAAAAGTGTGTGTTTTAACAATAGAAATCAAAGTGTTTGTTATTCGAAAATTGATCATAGCTTTTTTTTTTCTATCGATTTGTATGTCTAAAATAAATATTTGTTAGTCGATATATGTTAGATAGAAAACATCAAGTATACAGGATATTCTATGAAACATACTTGCACCTATAGATATTCTTTATTCATACTTGAAACAATAAAAAAGTTCATACAATATGTTGATCGGATGTTTTTGATTTTTCTTTTTTGCGACGTAAAAGACGTAGATTAGTGAAGAAAAACAAGATTGTTTTTTAGACTTCCGTTTACTTTCATCTATTACTATTGCGGTGTTACCTTGAAATATAGTACAATATGATCCTTTCATCTTGTTCAGTTGGATTAAGGTCACATTTGATCAGAGAAAATTCTACCTTTTAATACAACTCAATCAGTACAACGATTAGGTAGAGTTCATTTCTTTTTCTTTCCAGCCTTTAACTTCGACAAATGAAGGAGTAGTTCAATATGAATCGATAGATGATCATTCATACTTATTCACTCCGTTTTTTTTTTTTATATTCTAATTAGATCTGATTACTTTATCGCTCATTCATATCTCATACTTGAATATATGTGCACGTGTATGTACATAGAGTTAAGTATAGGTAAGGTTCAATTAAAATATACATGCACATTCGAAAATATGTCTGAGTGGGAAAGATGATACGATAACAAGGTTAGATTCAATGGACAAGTAGACATCGTCTGTTAATATAGGTTACGATAAGTATAAATCAGCAAGCAAAACAAATTTACATGCAAATATGAAAAAATACCATTTTCAGCATGAAAGAGCTTATGCGGAAGAATCATTTTGAATTTCATTACGTCGTATGGTAGTTGAATGTATATGACGATTATTTCTTTACATTATTGTTAAGGAAGAAGATAGCGAATATGTACATGCCAAGTTGAAAAGAAAAAGAGATTATGGGATGTTAACATATCTAATTTCTTCGTTCAACGTCAATGTATGCACGAGTCTCTCTCCTTACGAAATTAAAATGTCAGATGCGATTATTTCCTCCTCCTCATTTTCGTTTATTAGAGGTCAGTCACTTTGTCATTTCTTTTTTTTCTTTTGTCGTCCTACTCACTTTCGTTCATTTGTCTCTCAATTCTTTTGTTTGATGTTTTTGTTGTTTTTTCGATTTGACCTGCCCGCCCTATAGTCGACATTATGAGCGTAATGGATATAGAAGATAATGAGTCGATGATCGTTCACATGTGTTGTCATAATTGACGAAAACGAAAAAAAAACGAAAAGTGGTAATTGGAAATGACAAGATGTACTTGGCAAATATTCAAGGTAAGAATAAAATGAGATTTTTTTTTTTTAATTTTTTCTTTTTATTTTGTATTCTAAATTTAGTCTTTAGTTTTATTCTTTTCATTTGTAATATATCATCAAAAAGTATAAGTTTTAGTTATCGTTCATGTTTACCAAATATTGATTTAATTCATATTGAACATATTCATTCATTGAACAGTCAACAAATTCAATTAATTACAAGAGATTTTCATTTACATATTATATATCGATATAAAAAAGAAAAATATCAATTTAAATTTGGTAATTTTAATATATTATTAGGAAATTTATCAAATATTGATTATCAATATCAATCAGCAATTAATTATTATCATCAAATTGATACATGGAATTATGTTAATCTTACATTTAATGATAATTTATCACGTATATTTATATCATTTAATAATGATGAAACACGAATAATACCTTTAATTGATTATCCATTAGTATTTCAAAATCAAACAATTGAAACAAAATTAAATGTACAAATACTTGTTAATGAACAAGATAAAAATGTTACATGTTTATTACCATATACAGGTTTTGATATAAATCAGTATAGTTATTTAAATTCTTGTATAACAAATATTAAAACTTGTGGTATATAATTAAAAAGAAAAGAAAAAAAAAAATTTTTTTTGTTTAACTTTTGTTCATTTCTAGAACATCGCATATGTACATCATCGAATAATGTTGAACAGTATTGTCCACTTTTTAAAATATTTGATTGTTATCCATTTACTGGTAAATAAAACTTTTAATATTAAATTTAAAAGAAATTATTTATTTATTTATTTATTTGAATTAGATTTAAAATGTGGTTTAACACCAATACCTGTTCGTTGTACGAATAATCATTGTCAAAATCAAGGATTTTGTTATGTTGATATATTAAAAAATGCTTCTCAATGTGTTTGTCCATTTGGTAAATTTATCTTTTTTTAATTGACTTTTGTTTTTTGCAAAAAATATTTTCTCAAGGATTTGCGGGTGATCAATGTCAATATGATATTAATGAATGTCAATCAAATCCTTGTCCAAATCAGAGTAAATGTATTGATTTACCAAATGGTTATACATGTATTTGTGGTATGAACGCCCAAAAAGAAAATCGATAAGAAAAAGATATTTGTTTTCTTTTTTTTCAAGAACCTGGTTGGACTGGAATTGATTGTTTAGAAGATATTGATGAATGTAAAATAATACAACCATGTAAAGCAGCACGAAATTGTATTAATCAACCTGGATCATATAAATGTGAATGTCTTGATAGTTTTACTGGAATAAATTGTGAAATGGTAGGAAGAATCGAAAGTTTTGTTGATATTTTTAATGCAAAAAAAAAGTTGAATATGAGTTTTTCGTATTCAATAACTGTAGACTTGTTAGAAAGGATGATTTGATGGCAGGAAAAGGAAAAGATACGTCTCGATTAGATGCCTGTCAGGTGGAAGATTTTTGATTCTCAGTGAAAGTGAACATTTGACTCGAACATGATCAATTTTTTTTACAAACAATACAAACTGTTCCATTGTGAGTGAAGATATCAAAATTATAAAGAGTTCTTGTCGATGGACCTCTCGACTCGAGTTAAATGATTGATTTATCGAGTTTTCGATTCATTGATAGGTGTAAGGTCCAAAAAATTATATAACAGAATTTCAATCTAAAATTTTGCCTATTGATAAGTCTAATGACTTTTGAAATATTCTGAAAGTTTCAATCGAAAAGATATTGAATTTCCAAAAATAGATATTTGCCACAGACATCACTTGAAAATTCAATAGCTTAATGAATGAGCATTATTTTCGGCCGAAATTTTCAGGGTATTCTAAGAGTCATTAGACCTATCTACAGGCAAAATTTTGAATCGAAATTCCGTTATTCGATCTTTCATGAAGCACTTGAAAATGAGTCAAAAACTCAATAAACCGATCATAACTCAGCGCTGAAACTGTATTGGTCCAATATGAGCTCAAACGATTACTATCACTTGGGATTAGTTTACTCATTAACGATTTCTATTTCTCAATTCTTGAACATTACTGACTTGATTATATTTAGAAGCAACCCCAAGGACTCTAATTATGATATTCGTATCACGGCTATTATACGTATCTCATTTGAGCATCTGTTTTCTTTCTTATCTATGTGATCAATTTTGTGTTAATTAAAAGTCATCAACAGTTATTAACTTTATCTATGGTTCTGTTTTTTTTAATCTTGATATCATTTAGATTTTTCTTTTCTTTTCTTTTTTGACTCGTCATTTTGATAATAACGGCAATCAAACTGAATTGGGATTAATTAGTAAAAGTGGAATTGATCCATTGGCTAAGGTTGATTCTGAGAACTGATCGATGACTATAGAGAAGTGAACAAATAATACTAGCATTAATGTTTTTGCTTGAATAATTAATGTTTAACTCATGGACAACTTTCCTTTTATTTCTTGAGAGAGAATTATACTAAAGAATGTTTTATTTATTTTTATAGAATATTCTATATTATAACTTCATTACATGTCAGTTCTGTTCTATCTGACAATATAGTTCACATAGTCATAGATTCTGTTTTAATAACAATAATTAAAATCATCATGAAATTTCTAATGAGTTTAGCAAAAAAAAAAGAAATATATATATATATTGATAAAACGATACTGAACCTTTTTTCTATGATATTTATTCAGTGTCAATGTAACTACTTAAACTATTGAGTTTAACATATATCAATATGCAGAATGTCGTACGTAATTCGACCCATGTAATTAACAGACTTCTTCGTAAGATTAACATTCTATGAATAATACGAATCCTATTGAATCATGAATGTATTTGAAAGTATTTTGTTTTTTAATTTTTTGAGATTTTAAACTAAACAATTTCTTTTTCAGACACTTGATCCATGTCTATCTCAGCCATGTCTAAATAATGCAACGAAATGTCATTCAATACTTGATCGTGATAATGTTCTTTATCATTGTACATGCCAATCAGGTTTTACAGGTCATCATTGTGAAACAAATATAAATGATTGTGAAGGTATAATATGTCAAAAAAATAATACACAATGTATTGATGGTATTAATTCATTTCATTGTGAATGTAGATCTAATTTTAAACGAAGTATACATATATTTATAAAATAAAGAAATGAAATTAAGTACTTTTCTTTTCCTTTTATGAAGATTGGGATGGTTCATGTGTTGAACAAAATCCTTGTGATTCATCACCATGCCATCAAAATGCCACTTGTTATAATTTAAATGGTGGTCAATATCGTTGTATGTGTCCACCAACTTATACAGGTATTCGTTGTGATGAAGATATTGATGAATGTCGTGTATTTCCATTCATATGTCGAAATGGAGGAACGTAAGTTATTTTTATATAGATTAGGTTTTTTCTTTTCTATTATTCATTGATTTGAATTTATTTTTTGTAAAGATGTGTAAATGAAATTGGTTCATATCGATGTTATTGTGGATTAGGTTGGTTTGGTTCAACATGTGCTAAATCAATTGATTATTGTCTTTCTCAACCATGCAATCGAAATGGAACATGCATTAATAAAGTAATCATTTTTCAGAAAAAAATAAAATCATTGAAAAAAAAACGAAAGAAAATTTTAGATAAATGGATTTGAATGTCGTTGTTTATCACCATATACAGGTAATGTATGTCAATATGATATTGATGAATGTTTAATAGAACCATGTGTAAATAATGGTACATGTTATAATTATGTTGGTGGTTTTCATTGTCGTTGTTCGATAGGTTATTTTGGTATGAATAAATGAATGATATATGTTCAACTGTACGATTAAATATTCTTTGTTGAATAGGTTTTCATTGTGAATATCCACCATCAGAATGTGAACGTTTACAAAAAGCAAGTTTTTCTGTTAAATGTAATGATCCTCATTTATGTATTGTTAATGATACGGAAAAATTACGACAGTTAAATCAATTAACAACATATACATGTCGAACAGAACGAGATCGAATATTAGATAATTATTTTACATGTACTAGTGAACGAAAATTTAACTATTGTCCTTGTCCTTCACGTAAGATAAAATGACTTTTTTTTTTT